GTTTTTTTTTTTTTTTTTTTTTTTTTTTACAAGTCTATATGATGCAGTCCAGATGAATTAAAGAGAATAAAATCGGTTGTTTTAAAGTCCAAAGAAACTTACTTCTATCTTGTCTGAATTCAAAAGCCAAACATTTGAAGTTATCCAAGTTTTTATGTCCTCATAAAACCTGTTTTCGGGTTTCCTCCCAGTAGAACATGTCTGAGAAAGCACAGGAAGGAGGCAGATGCTCTGAGATCAGGGTTAGAATAGACAGAGTGGTAAATGGAGAACGTTGGGGTTTTTTTTTGGCTAAACTATCTGGACAGGAGGAAAGGAAAAAAGGTTTGTTTTTATTGTGAGGAAGCATAGAGAATCCGGAGGATGGTCAGCATACCCAGAAAGTGATGAGAAGTATTGTTACACTTTAAATTTTTCATTTTTATGTTTTTCATGGACATCTCTGTTCAGTTTCTTTTTGTGAATACTCCATTCTAAACCACAATCAGAGGCAAATAGATTAGAATTAAGGATCCCAGATTCTCAAATAAATCTGTGAAACAATTTAAGATGTCCAATCACTGATGCTTTTCAACTCTTTTGATTTATCTTCAGATATTATGCAAAGAACAATGAACAAACATCATTCTCTAGATTTGTGAATATTGGTAAAGACGTACCCCATATCCCAAAGACATAATGATTGTTCTAAAATGGCTCTACTTATTTTTTCCTGTGTATAAAGAAAGTATTTTTAATAGTTTTTTTTTATGTCAAAATATGAAAAAACACTTAGCTGTTTTATCCCACAAAATCCAAACAAAAATAAAAATAAATCTTTTGTGGTTTATCATCAAATTAATCAAGAAAAATGGATCTTAGAGAAGAAGAAAAAAACAGCAATGTGTCAGACAGAGCAGTTCAATCAGGGGAAAATAAGTATTTTAGCTGAGAGGGACCATTCTGATCTCATATTTGAATTGATTTTCTTCTTGTGTCATCCTGTTCCTCTCAGTTATCACTCAGCTTATCCGAATTCACGTTGACTTTTAGATTGCTGTTATTCCTGTAGTTATTGTCTAAAATAAATCCTAGTCCCGCATGCTCACTTAAAGAAATCTGAAAATATCGAACATATTTTCAATTTAAATGAAAATATGAAATATACATTAAAGCAAACAATGGTTTTAAATATAATCTTAATGTAGGTCATCAAATCAGTGTCAGTTTAGTCTGACAGAGTCTGTCTGTAGTGTTGTTAAATGTCCAGCAGGTGTCAGTATTCATTGAGACAGTAACTATGAAGGTTATTTTGTTCCAAAACTATTTGTGCATTATAAGTGTGAATTTGAAGTTATAGCGGGAGTTATATTATAAGTTTTGTATTTGTAGAATAATAATAAAAAAATGTTTTCTCTAGATTCTACAAATACAAAACTTATAATTCAACTCCCGCTATAACTTCAAATTCACACTTACAATGCACAAATAGTTTTGGAACAAAATAACCTTCATATCACAGTCATTCAACATTTTTTTAAAAGATAATCCACTGGACTTTGTTTTCAAGTTTGAAGACGTTTTCGCCTCCCATCCATGAAGATTTTAAAATTAAATATGTCAGAAAGACGCTATTTCTGCCTCTCTTTGAACAGCAGGGGGCGCTGCAGCTACAGGCTAACGCTCTGAGGTCAGAAGAAGACCTCCCAGCATGCAACTCGGCGCGCAAACTTCAAGCTGAAAAAAAGGAAAATAGTTTTTGTTTTCAATTCAGCGTAGAAATGTAAACTTTTGTCATTTTCACAAACTTTAGAGATTTCCTGGAACTGTTGGCGTAAGAACTGCTTATGTCATTTATGCACCTTTTTTAATGAAGTCCGAGTTGTAGTGCAGTTTGACTTGTTTAACTGTAGTCCTTATCGATTTTTGCAATATTATTATTATGTATTATTAAATTAGTGGCCAAGGTTTGCTTCAGTTGATCGCCGTATCTCAGTTGCTCTAATTCTTTTATATTTATTGCTCTAATTCTTTTATATTTTTTAACACGTTGAAGCAGGGAAGCAACTAAATACAAGGAGAGTTTCGTAACCCTATAAGCAAATAGTATTAATAGAGAGTTTTTCAGGGTCCGGTTCCTTGGCTGCAGGATGAGCAGTCCAGGAGATGACAGCGGTCCCATGAGATCAGCTGATCTCTTTGAAGATCTGTTGAGGCAGCTGAAGGAATTCCACCAAAACACATTACATGGTATCTGACCCAGACAGCACACATTCAATGTTTAAATTACTTCCTTAAACCTTCACCTGTAGTGTTTTTCTTGTCTCCTTCTAGATCTTGAGGCCAAAGTGAGCAAGCTGAAGAAGGATCGCTGTCTGTGAGTATGTTAGATCCCTTTCTAACCGCACTGGTCAGGAGGAATAACTGAGATCATGTTTTCTTTGCTGCAGAGACGCTCAGCGGCTGGAGTTGTTTTATAATCGCAACCAGCAGCTGAAGGAGCAAAACAAAAGCCTCCAGGAAACGATCAGTCTGCTGGAAGAACGGTAACTTCCTCAAAGCCTTCTGCGTTCATCCATGTAGTTCAGTCTCCTGTCCTGGTGTGGAGCAGACACTACAGATCAGATTCGCTGTATGAAAGTGTTGGGATTTTATGTTCAATGCCCATCCAGGTAGGATGCCACATTAATGTTGTGGATTTATATTCTATTCTATTCACAGCCAGCTGGGAATTTATATTTCTGATACTTTAAGATGTTTATTTCCCTCCCCGGTAGGGATGGCAAATATTTGATTAAATCAGATATTATTTCAGCTATATACTGTTTATGAATACACAGCCATACTAGTTGTGTGTTAGAACAATAGATGAAAGAGTGATTCGAGCTCTAATCATGGTCAAACAGTTATTTCTGCACATACATGGAATAAATTCACCACACCTTCTGTTTAAAATATAAGAGTTTGTTAACAAAAATCATTTAGTTCTAAGTCAAACATATTTCAGTTTAGCACTCTTAACTAAAACTAGTGAAACTCAACTAAACTAACTACTATGTACAAAGAGGAAAGGAAACATGGTTGAAAACCATATTACGGTTTAAGATGGATCTTGTGTTTGAAAATCAAAGTTTATCTTCTAGAAGAATTTGGAATGTGATCAAATTAGCTTTTCACTAATTTAGAGAAATTGGAATGTTTTCAAACCAATTCACAATGCAAATCCATGAGGTAAATAAAACATTATTTAGCCAAATAATGTTTTATTAAATTATTGGCTTAATCAAGAACCAATAACCTTTAGTTATATGATTCTTTACCCTCTTGGAAATAGCTAGCAGTGAATAAACATCAGGATTCCACTAAATGACTCTTGGTCTTACTTGGTAATGGAAATGTAATGAGCGTTTGAGGAACACATGAACACTAATGTTATATCAGTGTTTAAACCCTTGGTGAAATAAAGCTTGTCCAAGCTTCAACAACAGCTCAAAACATTTACTGTAGCATAGCGTAGCATGAAGTCCATCCTGTTAGCTTTGTCTTTACTCACCATTCAACACATCAAAATCATTAAAAGACATATAGCTTGTTCTGTCCCTAATTATGTCAGACCTGCAAACTTTTTTGTTCATTTGGAAGACTCGACTTTCACTCAGCAGTCAAGCTCAGCAAGGCAGGGGTTTCTTTGTCTCAGGCTCACACCAGGGGTCCTTCTCATTCAGTCTGAATCTATAACCTCTGAAACTCAAGAGAAATGTGTTACAAAAAGTCTGTTTTGCAGCAGTTTGGTTCTGAAAGGTCACCATGATGACTTATCCTTGATGATTGTGAAAATCTGGGTCTTTTGGGCCCGGGTCTCCATTCCGGATGAGACCCTGCCCAAGTGGACCCCAGCTTCATGGGAAAGAGGG